AAGATAAACTAATAAGATAGAATATAAATGTATGAATTTTCAAGCTTAAACAACAATTATTGTCATAACCATTAAGCCAACGATTAAAAAGAAAAACAAAAAACAAGATTAATGTTAGTTATGTTAATATATGAGTTATACTAATGCTTTAAGTAAGGAAGGATCTATTGGTTTAGATCTGTTTACTCAATTAGTTTCTTGAATAGAAATCTTAATATCAAATCGAAAAATCTACATTTATTTTTGCTTTATTAACTTTATGTCTATCAATGATAAATACATCCTTTTATTCCTATTTACTGTAATCATTTTTTATTTTTTCGAAAAAAATGATTTACAAAAAGAAATACAATGGTTTTTTGTTTTACGACAATGATCATTTTTAATTATTTGTTGAATATGTTTATCAGTCTTATGATGTTTTGTATGTACATGTTTACTAATTCGTCGAGTTTTTTTCATAGATTTATCAGATTGTCTGGAATTGGAACGCTTGATTGCTACTTCTTCATAAACATGATTTGTTGTTAATTTTGACCAAATATTAAGAAAATATGTACGAATAACATAAACAAATTTTTTTATTGTCAATTCTATACAAGATTTATGAACTTTAAAAGGTGCCATTTAAAGTATTTAATCATTTCGCAAGCATTTTTATAGGCATAATTATACATGTAATAAATATGACGTCTTCTACGTCATATTTTTTTTGTCGAGGATATTATATATCCGGTATACATAAATAATTATTGACGTAAATGCCTGTTATGAATGACAAATATACTCTCATGTCATCTCCTTGTATGTGTTCGTCATATTTATGTATTTCGGCAAGATTCTTTTTTTTTTATAAATAACCGGTTATTTCTAAAAGAAACAATATAATAAATCTCAATATTTTCTCAGATGAAACCTGAGAAGGATACAATTTATATCTGTTTTATTGGCTATAGGATTATCCAAGTCTTTTTTTAAATTTCGTTCTTCAATAAAAAAAATTCGTATCTCTATTCGTTAAAATCCTTGAAAGAATAGTAATACTCGATGACATTCATATACCAAAAGAAATTATTGGATCTTGTTATATATCTATAAGAACTATTTATTAGATTAGTATGTAACTACTTTAATATACAAAGTCAAGAATACTATAGATTAGCCTTCTGTTTTAATAAAATCTATCAATATGATATTCGTATTTAAAATATGTATAGTTCTTTATGTATTATAAATCGTACCATATCTTTCTAAGTACTATATATGGAAAATCCATCAATTACATCTGGGAAAAAATATGCTTAATATGACTGATGATACATCACTGTTTTTTTGTATGTCAATGTCACATAGGCAATTAATGACGTACATATCTTTTCCTATATAATAAAGATAGTCGTGCATTATTATGAATTTTGTTTTTTGAAATCATATTTATTAGTCTAAAATATATATTCATATAATTATGTATATTATCTATCTCATTAAATTGTAACTTTTTGTTATTGATAAGATTGTATCGTAGGAAATATTTGTCTTTCTATTTGACATAAGAAATGATGAATTGTTTCTTTATCTAATAGTGACTTGTTTATAAATATGACTTTTCTTTCTTTCTTTTTTTTTTGAATTTGATTTCTGACAGAATAATAAAAACATGAAATATGTCATGTGTATTCTATCTGAATAATCAGTATATTATTTATTTATATTGTAATTATATAAGATATATTTATTATTTCATGAGGTTTAGAATTTAAAATGCGTCATAAGACATCGGAATCTTTCTATATGTTATTGTTTTAATTGAAAAGCTTTGTATTTTTTCTATTAGAGAAGAAAAAGAAATTGACTTATTGAATATTAATTCATAAAAGAATGTATGTCTTGTTGTTTACAATTAGATTTATATTTTCGACATGAATTTTATATTGATGAAGAGACAAAGCTTATTTGTAACATATCAAAATTATTTGATTAACATCTATATAATAAAATTAAATTTTCGTCTCGTCTACGATGCTAAATTCCATTCATATTAAGTTATTATCGCGAGACAAAAAAATTTGTCTCTTTCTTTTTCTTCTTCTTCGGCAAAATGAAAGACAATATTAATCAATAAGTCTAATATTATCCAGATTTTCTTTGTTATTTTTCTTAACGACATATGGCAATATTCTATGTAATTCATCAAGCATATTGTTCTGCCAATCATAAATCCATAAGTTAATATTCTAACTGTTATATCTACTATTTTATTCCATTAGTTTGATAGAGTATTGAACACACACACACACACACGGAGCAAATGAAGTAAAAGTATTATTTTTTTGTATCACATAAGAAGAAAAGCAAAAAGAAATACAAACATAGATAAATGGAATAAATAATTAATTTGAATTATTCACCATTATTTTATGTCGATGTTTTTGGTATCATTGTCAATAATGGATGATTTGGTAATGGGGGTTGATAGAAAGCATCGACTACAGCAATCTATGGAAAATAAATATATATTTTTATTCAATAGAATATTAATTGCATATATATAGAGCAGTGTTAGGTTATTGAGCAAAAACATGATTAGTGTAAATATCTATATATTTGTTATATTTCCCACCTGTTTCATTGATATGGAATAAATGAGAAGAAAAAAATCTGTTTTTTTTAAAGTTAGTTTCATATTCTTATTATTTAACTACAGACATGATCATCATCATCATCTTCATCATCACAAAAGAAAAAGAACACAGAGACAAAAGTAAAAGAACAAGAAAAAAAAAAGAATAAAATTAAAACCTATCTAGTCTAAGGATAAAAGGAAATAGATAGAAAGGGTGGTAGGCAGTCGTCATCACTCGGTGTTTGTTATTTAATGTCTTCGATTTAAAGATATCGAAGTAAAAATTATCGTCTTTTTTTTTATAATGTTTTTATGTCCTTTTTGGCGTTCGACATTCGCCATCCACCTGTTGTATATAGCACCGCTTGACTGTGACTGACTGATTTTGCAGAGAGCGAAAATAGAGAAAAATATAAATAAAGAAAGAACAAAAAAAAAGAAAAAAGAAGAAAGATAGTTTTCTGTAACATACAATAAAAAAAAGACAAAGAGAGAGACTTTATCACACGTCTGCAAAAAAAAGACATACAAACTCTAAATGCGCGCAAATATGTGAGAAAAGAAAGTAACAGAGAAGAATAAACTGATTTAAAGATAGAAATAGAGGGGGATAAATAAAGGCTAGAAGCATAAAAGATACGAGCCCACCGATAAAAAGTTTTTTTTTTGCGTTTTAGTATTATTATTTTGCTATATAATCATTCTAAAGTTAGGTATGTTTAATAATTGTTAATGGTAATTGTTCATTATCAGTGTTAGTTACATTATTAATAGGATTCGAAGGTTGTTTATCGTAATAATATGATGATGATTTGGGTATAGTATTGGCTCGTAGCCGATCTAATGTTACATATTTTGGTGGGTATCGATCGAATGAATCTTGAAATGCTTTTATCACACGAAGCTAGAATTGTACGAATAAAGAAAAGAAAAAAAATTCTTTATAGTATTTTTTATCATTAGAAAAATACATATATGAAAAATAAGTTAAAAAATAGGATAATAAAAATACAAGTATATATATATATATATAGATTCGTGCACATACAATATACACTAACAAATAAAGCCAAGACAAGTATGCAAGCAAAACAATAATAAAAGCATAAGAGTTATTTGAAATATTTATTAGTAAATAAACAAAAGATGAAAGAATAATTCCTTCTCAATTATTTTGTTAATGGGGCGTGATAAAACTAATCACAGCAATAGACAAATATGCACAAACATCACAATCAATAGGGGCTTTTTAATTGAATAGGGACATAGATATATACACGAATACGAAACGGGGAACAAAATATCAAACAGGCAGGACAAACCTCAAAAGATACGGGTGTACATAATGTATAAGTTATGGTATATTAGGATAAGAAGTATAGCGCACATGCGCTTCTCGTATAAATGATGATGATTACCATTGGGAAGACGGCGATTTGGCAACATGTTCTTGGAAAGTTTTAACGACTTGCACCTGTCAGAGCGATTAATTAAAAAAATGAATATATACAAAACATACAAAAGAATTCTCTTAAGAATTCAAAAAAATTAATTCAATTATTTTCGTTATTATTAAAACGAGGGTGGTGTCTAAGTATTCCATTAACTAATCGACAAGTTATAATATATAATAATTGTTTTGTCAATAATCTTGTTCAAATAGAACATATTACTCTATTATCTATTTGTCAATATTCTGCTTCATGCATTCAAATAAGTTCATCTTGCTTTTATTTTCTTAATATATAAAATTAATCTAATGCATACATGCATTGAAGCTAGTAAGAATAGAAGTTTATATATATATATATATAATATGTGAGCTTTTTTGTTCATATCAGTAGAGAAGTTTAAGCAAATTTCAAGAGTATATATATATATTAATACTATGTCTCATAAGTAATAAAAATCAAATATTAATAAGATTGTGCTTTTTTCTCTGTTATAAAGATGATAAAATCTTGAAATTAGCTTTTTTATTTTCTTTACCTGTGTTTGAAGACGTGTTATTCCTCTTAACCAAAGTATTTGCCCTTTTGTTAAACTTGATGCTTGTCTTGGTTGTCCTTCTGGGCCTAAATCTGCGGGTAATGTCTGTTCATAAACTTCACCTGCACCCCATTTCGGCATATGACGTGTCACCGGGATCAAATTAACCAACTAAAAATAGATAAATATATATATTCTGTATGAAAACATAAATTGAATTTATTTATTTTTACTTGATTCCACAGAAGAACTGTAACGCCGAATAATAAACACCACATCCATTGTTCAAGTGTTAATGGCACACAAGAAAATGCAAATGAACCATATTGAACAAGAAGAATTTGTACGACAAATGTAACAATCCATATACCATAAAAAATTGGATTTGTAAAAAATCCTCTAAAAACATTTTTTTCTCCATGAATTTTTCGGCAATTAATTTCATTAAATAATGTCATTAAAACGAATACATTAAATAT